TTCACCACTGCGGCGCACGTACAGTACGGACTTACAGATGGAATTGAACGACCTCTGTCCGAAGCATTCCACATTAGCGCGTTTTTTTGCTACGTACGGTGCGACAGAAGTTCCACGTGCGCTGAAGTTCACAAGGCACCGCACTCAATCGCTATTGCTCCGGAGAGCATTTGACGCATCACCAATTGTGATAATTGGTTTTTTACCCTTCTATCTGGCAACAAAACTGACACATTTTTTTTTTACAAGGAGTCATGTTTGCATAGACCACAATACCTGCAGTCATAATGCAAACAAAAAACATAACTCTGATAATGTATGCACTGTCCTTGAAGTTGATTGGTTCACACCCGAGACAGCTTTCCTTAGAGCCTAGTCTCACATGGTGTTGGACCAGATGACGCCAAAAGGCGCACAACTCAAAGACAATGCACCATCAGAGTATGAGAGCTCGGGGTAAGCATTTACAATTATCATATTTTTTACTGGCAAATGAGGTTCCAATGGTGCATCGACAATTGTCCAGGGCAGTTGTATTCAAGAGCGACTCACGCTGTTGCGCGGCCCACGACCGAATTAATCGCATCTTTTTGTCCAAAGCCGCTACGTGGTCCTCACCGGTACACTCGGCACAAAAATAAACATCGATCTCTCGCGAGAATTGTTGCGTCTCCAGAGTTGCCACGTTGGCCTGATTGACGTTCGATTAAGAGCGCGGAGGGCAAGGCGGTGGAGACCGGGGTTTTTAAATCGCTGGCTAACTTTGCCTCCCACGCGCTTATGTGACCAGTGGGGGGGGGGGGGGGGGGGGCAATCTGGATAGCGAAAAACCACCCCTGTCTATCTGTGTTGGGGATTGTAAATACTCAAGGGTCCTGTGGCCAGGTCTCATATTCAGACTATTAATTTCACCACATGAACTCCTCGACTTATGAACACCCGACTTACGAAACCCCGACTTACAACCACCCGCACTTACGAACACCCGCACTTACGAACCAGCTTCCATGACATATATTTTTAAAATGACATTGATTTTTAAACGAAAAGTCGTACTTGCAAACTGAACCGCGGAACACAATTTTGTTCAGCGGAGTGATCCTCCGCGAGGCATTAATGCGCTTCTGTGGCCGTCTGGAACGCTCTTCCGTCCGATGTTAGGAAGCCACTTTTCAACGTAGATTAAAAACTCGTTCCTTTAGAACTGCTTTTCGTGCTTAGGTTTGTTATCCTTCCCTCTACGTACGGGGCACACGAAGTCCAACGTACATATACATACGTGTGTGAGTGCGGCCTTCAAAACAAATATATAACAGGCGACGTTTCGGGCAATGTACCCCTTCTTCATCGTATAAAAGGCGGCGGTGGCTTAACAATTTTCACGGTCACTCCTGGCGCCGCCCTCTTTGTCATTCTCACGGAGCAGCCCCAACGCTGTCAAATTTCTCCTCCGACCGCAAATTCCTTCTCGGCTCCCACCGCCGATTGAAGATCCGACGAATTCCTCGTCAAAGCCGAGGGTAATGAGCTGGCGATGCGATACGTTCGGGTGTCGTGCGCACGCGCACACGCACGCCAAACAAAGACAAAGATCCCCCGTGTAGCCTTCGACAGACTGTTGGGGCAAGTGTCGTTTGCGAGCAGCACCTATGAGGGCCGGCACGGCACACGAGGGGGTGGGTGGCCATCCACACGCACGGCCGCCTTTGTCTTCCCGGTGGCGATGTTTACACACCACACCAGGTACCCGTTTTAGGCTTGAGTCGATCTAGGGGTGGTCCAGGACCGGTTCAGATAATAGTCACCGGTGTTGGCCTTGAGCGGGAATAGAACTCGGGTCGCCGGGTTCGTAACGCAACGTGCTAACCGCTGCACTACCGCTCTACACGTACATACACAGTGCGCTAAGCACTGCACCACCGCTCCCCACACACACACAGTGCGATAACCATTGCACCACCGCTCCCCACACACACAATGCACTAACCACTGCACCATCGCTCCCCCCACACACAGCGTGCTAACCACTGCACCACCGCTTCCCACACACACACAATGCACTAACCACTGCACCACCGCTCCCTATACACACAGTGCGCTATCCACTGCACCACCGTTCCCCACATACACAGTACGCTAACCACTGCACCACCGCTCCCCACACACACACACAGTGCGCTAACCACTGCACCACCGCTCCCTACACACACAGTGCACTAACCACTGCACCACCGTTCCCCACACACAGTGCGATAACCATTGCACCACCGCTCCCCACACACACAATGCACTAACCACTGCACCACCACTCCCCACATACACACAATGCACTAACCACTGCACCACCGCTCCCCACACACACACAATGCACTAACCACTGCACCACCGCTCCCTACACACACAATGCACTAACCACTGCACCACCGCTCCCCACATACACACAATGCACTAACCACTGCACCACCGCTCCCCACACACACACAGTGTGCTAACCACTGCACCACCGCTCCCCCCACACACACAATGCACTAACCACTGCACCACTGCTCCCTACACACACACACAGCGCGCTAACCACTGCACCACCGCTCTCCACACACAATGCACTAACCACTGCACCACCGCTCCCCACACACACACAATGCACTAACCACTGCACCACAGCTCCCTACACACACACAATGCACTAACCACGGCACCACCGCTCCCTACACACACACAATGCACTAACCACTGCACCACCGCTCCCTACACACACACAATGCACTAACCACGGCACCACCGCTCCCTACACACAGTGCGCTAATCACTGAAACACCACTCCCCACACACACACAGCCTGCTAACCACGGCACCACCGCTCCCCACACAAACACTGCGCTCACCACCGCACCACCGCTCCCCACTCACCGACACAGCCCAAGCGCACCGCACGTACACACGTGCACGCGCACGCGCGCGCGCCACCTGGCTAAGCCGATGCGAACGCTCGCAAGTCGTAGTCTCGCGTTTCATCGAGTGTCGCTGCACAGGACGCGGCGTTGTTCCTCCGTCTTGACTCACGGCGTTTTCGCTGTCTCCTGGCAGCGCCCAACACCCTCGGATGGAGTGCCCAGACATTTAGAAGGGACTCACTAACTTTGCCGTCTTCTTGGTTCTTTCGGTAAAGTCACGGAGAAGGGAAATACTAAAATAATAAAAATAAAACATTAATTCTCACGACGTTTCGGCCACAACGCAAGCAGACGTCCTCGGGTCTGTCGGGGAGACAGCGTCTGAATGAAACACCACCACGCTTGGAGCGTATTATTTTATTATGTTTTATTTTTATTATTTTATTATTTCCCTTCTACGTGACTTTACCGAAAGACCCAAGAAGATGAATCCCTGCAGTCACGAAAGCTTTAAATCGGGCTTTAGTCTGTTACTCAGTCGCTACTATGAATGCAACTTTGTCCCTATGCCAATGTAGATATCAAACAGGGGTGTCATCAGATTATTATTTTTTGTAAATGTAATTCTCATCAGGCCCCAATGGCGTAGTCTCCAACTCGTGTTATCCACTCTGACCTATTTATCTGCTATAAAGAACGGTCATTGTCCGAAACGTCGCCTGTTTTTTTATTTTCAAAACGGCATCATATGGAGTGAGAGCTGTAACTCCCTCTCCGCAGACATCCGTGCTGTGGGCTGCCTGCAAACGTTCAACTCCAGGCTCCCCCCACCCACAGAGTGGTACTCATTGTATCGACCCCGGAGGAATGATGGGCTTGAGTCAACCCCTCGAACTATAGTTGAACTCGCAACCATTCCGATTGCGAGCCGTTCGCTCTACCAGCTGAGCGACCGACTGACCTCAATCTCTCACCACAATGGCCATGCCCACGCTACTGCTCATCGTGTGTTGATGGTGATGATGATGATGATCTCACACGCTGTCGCCATACACACGTACACGTCTATAACAACCACATTGCACATCGCGTTGTACCCATCACGTGGGTTCGACTCCTCCTGCAAGGTCAGGATGTTGACCATGCAGGTCACATCCTGACCCACTGCGTATGGTGCGAACAAAGTTCAACATACATACAACGTGCGTGTGCGTTCACCTTTACGAAAAGCTGGGGGGAGGCAATTGCAAACTGTGAATTCCCCCACCCCACCCGCAGGTTGTGGCCCATGTCAGCAGCAATGGGGAGACAAAGACGGCTGGGGTATGCGGCGTTGGTGCTGGCCACATCAGCGCCTGACACGTGCTATGCTGGCGTGCAGATGTGCTCGCTTAACAGCATGCGCTCTGACAATAAACAGATCTTGCTGCGTAGGCGAGCTGTGGCTTGTCCATTGCACCCAACGTCAATAGCAAAGAACTCATCAATAATATGAATTTTAAAAAAAATATTAAATGAAAATAAACCTAGACCCGCGCAGACTGCGATGGTGCGCGCCGGACAGAATCCGCACATCAGAATCGGAATCGTTATTTAGACTGAGGAGGAATCCCATGGGCTGCAAAGCTCTATTCTCACAGATGTCCAGGAGTAGGGGCACGGGGTCAGAAAGTTGCTACAGAAACAACAACAACAAAACCTGATTAAAAAAAAAACACAATGGGAGTGACTAAATAAAGCAAAGGGTAAGGAAGTATGAAAAATGAATGAAACATAGATAAAGTATATCAGCACATAAAGCGTTGTTTACCGTCTTTGTTGTTGGTGTATCTCGTGACTGGGGTGACCTTAAGATGAAATTAAAAACTGAAAACCTGAAGACGTGTATGCGGCAATTGCAGGGAAATCACGGTAGCTACAAGCTCGCTATTTTTATTTTACCAGGTAAGGCGCACTGAGCTGTACAGCTCTTAAGCGACTTGGCCACACGCGATGATAGCTCAACGAAGTGGCTTATCACGCGGAAAATTCATAGCAGCCAAATACTCTTAACGCGTGGTGTTGATTCTAAATGCGGATGGAGGGAAACAACGGAGGACCCGGAGAAAAGATCCACGCGACCGCGGGGAATTCACGTGTCATCCTTGCGAAGAGGCCATGCCAATCTTCTCTGTATCGTTCCAATTTTAGTACACGTACTGCCGGAGGCAGGCAAACTCCAAATATACAGCAGGCATCAGGGTCGGGATCGAACCCATGGCTTCCTGTATACCAGGCGAGGTAGTTAACATCTGCTAGCCACCGTGGTATTGTGTTTCAGCGACGCGTTCAGTGGCACGTGTGTACGTTCAACTTCTTTCGCACCGTACTGTAGCCAACCGCGCTAATCGGAGGTGCTGGAGGTGTTTGCAGAGATTCGGGACGCGGCGAGCACCCGGTTAAATAACCACCACCGCCACCACCACCGCCACCACCACACCGCCGCCGCCGCCCACCACCACCACCACCACCACCGCCACCACCACCACCACCACCACCGCCGCCGCCACCACCACCACCGCCGCCGCCACCACCACCACCGCCGCCACTCGATTGCCAGACGATTGCACTTGCCCCGCGAGGTTGAAAGGAATCGCACCATCCCGAGCGACTTGTTGGAGCGGTGGATCCAAGAGCCAATCGGGAGGATTTCTTCACAACTCTGGCTGTCGCCTGGTGATGCTGGTCGTTGTAATCACCGGCGAACCTTGTCACGGTACTCGAATAGTAAACGATGTCGTGGGTTTTACTCTCCAACACACAAGCGGTGTGCTGGACTCGTGACGGATTGGCACGTTTTGTTGACGTGACGAACCTCGCGAATTGGCCGTGTCTGTTGGTGGCGGGTTTAACGACACATTTGTATTTACGCCATCTAACCCCCCCCCCCCAAAAAAAACCCTCTATTGTGGTGCGAACGGGCTTAGCAAAACATACTGCGCTCCAACTTCATGCGCGTGTGCGTACGGTACACGCAAACGTCACCATGGGAATATCTACTTGTTATTTTGGTGAGTCATTTGGCGAATCACCAAATAATTACGGGGAGCGGTGGCGAATATCCGAAACGGTTCTGGGCCTCTCATAGATCAACTCAGCCTAAAATGAGTACCTGGCGCGGTGTGTAAACATCGCTACTCGGGAGACAAAGGCGGCCGTGGCGTGGTGCTGGCCACCCACCCTCGTAACGCGTGCCGTGCCGGCCTTCGTAGGTGCTACTCGCTAACAGCACTTGCCCCGACAGTCTGTTACAGGCTACACGGGGTGGATCTTCGTTCGTGCGCGTGCGTGCGTGCGTGCGCGTGCGTGCGTGCGCGTGCGTGCGCGTGTGTGTTACGCACGCGCGCGTAGCCGTAATTGTTCTGGTCGCCGAAGTCATTTGGCGGCTCGCCCCTAATGGAAGGGTACATTAATAATTTCCGCCCTCAAATTCCTTTCCGAAAATAAAGCGGCGGCAGAGTTCGGTCCTAATCCCGGATTAGCCCCGAAGCGGTGAGAATGGATCGAGAGTGAACCGACGGTTGCACTATCGGGCGCTCGCCATCAAACTCCGCGCAGATTGAGTTACGTTTTTAAAAGGAAAAGAAAAATTAAATGAAGTTTTTTTTATAAATAAAAATAATACGCTTTGTAATAATGAGATAATAAGATGCGCGTGTCTTGCACATTGGAGAAGGGATAACGGTTTAATGATGTTGGAGAGTAATGTTGCCGTATCGCCAATTCAAATCAGACGTTACTCATAAGAAACAAACAAAGACTCCTTTATGCTTTTTTACGAGTGTTTAACCACGACAATGTCGTAACCACTACAATGGAGTGCCATGGCGGCGAGATGTTGACTACCTCGCCTGGTATGCAGGAGGTCGTGGATTCGATCCCGACGCTGAAGCCTGCTGTATATTTAGAGTTTGCGTGTCTCTCTCTCTCTTTCTCTCATCATCAAGGTGGCTAGGAGATGTTGACTACCTCGCCTGCTATGCAGGAGGTCGTGAGTTCAATCTCGATCTGATGCCTGTTGTATATTTCGAGTTTGCGTGTCTCTCTCTTCCCGTGGTCGCGTGGATTTTTCTCCGGGTCCTCCCGGTTTTTCCCCTTCACGTTTATAATCAACGTCAACACGTTTAGAGTCATTTGGCTGCTATAAATGTCCACGTGATGATGAGCCACTTCGTTGAGCTATCATTTGTGACAGCAGGTCGCTTCTGAGAAAAGAGCTACGCAACTCAGTCGTGGGCCTTACCTAGAAAAAATTAAAATATATTTTATATTTCGATTTAAAGCTTTCGTGACTGCAGGGATTCATCTTCTTGGTTCTTTCGGTAAAGTCACGTAGAAGGGAAGTAATAAAATAATAAAAATAAAACATAATAAAATAATTCTCACGACGTTTCGGCCACAACGCAAGCAGCCGTCCTCAGGTGAAAACCAGGTCCGTCGAGGCGACAGAGCCATTCAGACTCTGTCGCCTCGACGGACCTGGTTTTCACCTGAGGACGGCTGCTTGCGTTGTGGTCGAAACGTCGTGAGAATTATTTTATTATGTTTTATTTTTATTATTTTATTACTTCCCTTCTACGTGACTTTACCGAAAGAACCAAGAAAATATCTTTTAGAGTTTAGTAAAAAAAAAACACACAACCGAATGATTTCAAGACCGTGTTTGGTTTGAAAAACGAGGAGGGGCTCGCTGATGGCACAGGGAGACACGATGCGCCGACTCTCGATTCGAGACGAAGGGGCTTCCAGCCACGGACTTGGAAGGCGTCCATCGATGAGAGAGGGGTTCGTATGTCCAGGAGATGGAGCGACGACATTGAGCAGCTGCCGGCTGGATCGTTACTCCTCGCGAGGCGTGGCGAGGCGAGGCTTTCATCCAGCAGTGGATTGAACTTGGCTGATGATGATGATGATGAGGTCACGACAAATGAATGGCACATGGGTGACTCATTAAAGGCCGTTACAAAAATATAGCAGAAGTGAGGGCGATTGGAGCGTCCATTTCTCATTGTCAAGTTTAAAGGCAAAGAGAGAGAAAGAAAAAATATAAACTGTCATCTGTTTTCGCGGTTGACTGATATCGAAGCAGTTAAATCGCTACGTCGTTTGTTTGTAGGGTAAATATTCTTTCATGGCAAGGATGGAAAGGGGAGAAAAATATAAAAAAGTGTCGGTTTTTTTCTTCCTTTTGAACAAAAAGTGATAAGAGGGAAAGGGGACTGTGTGGGTCATCGTGTAGAATGTGAGTGTGTTTTTGTGCAACTCGTGTGAAGATGTGTGTCTGTGTGTGCGTGACTTGTGCGAGAGTGTGCACGTGTGTGTGTGTCTGTGTGTAGGTTAGATTCCCGCTCACGGCCAACGCCAGTGACGATTATTTGAACCGGTCCTGGGCCTCCCCTAGGTCGACTCAGCCTGAAATGCGTACCTAGTGCGGTGTGTAAACATTGCCACTGGGGAGACAAAGGCGGTCGGGCGTGGTGCTGGCCACCCACCCCCTCGTGTACCGTTCTGGCCTTCTTAGGTGCTCGCTAACAGCACTTGCCCCTACAGTCTGTTAAGGCTACACGGGGGATCTTTGTCTTTTGTCTGTGTGTGGGGGAGCGGTGGTGAAGCAGTTCGCGCGCTGCGCTACGAACCCGACCACCCGGGTTCGATTCCCGCTCACAACCAGTGACGAATATCTCAACCGGTCCTGGGGATCACCTAAGTCGACTCAGCCTCAAATGACTACCTGGTACGGTGTGTAAATATCGCTACTCGGGAGACAAAGGCGGTCGGGCGTGGTGCTGGCCCACCCACCCCCTCGTGTACCGTTCCGACCTTCATCAAAGGTGCTGCTCGCTAACAGCACTTGCCCCGACAGTCTGTTGAAGGCTACACGGGGGATCTTTGCCTGTGCGTGCGCGCGTGTTTTTTCTACGACGTATTCCGCCCGTATTTGACACGATGTGGCTGGCGCGCGACGTGTGAGCAGCTGTTGCTGGGCCATCACGAGGACAAGGTCCCTGCACATTGGGCCCAGCAGGGAGAGGAGCTGCGTGCGCGTGAACACCGCAAACTATTAAAACTATCGGGTTTTTTTTTTGTTAAACTAGGCAAGGCCTCCAACAACCGAGCTGCAATAGCACTTTTTTCAAACGATACCTCAACGAAGTGGCGTGAAAATGTATAGCGGCCAAATTTCCCGTAAACGCGTGATGTGGATAGAGGGTAAACAGCGGAGGACCCAGAGAAAAATCCACGCGGTCATGGGGAGAGAGAGACAGGCAAACTCCAAATATGCAGCAGGCATCAGGGTCCGGGATCGATCCCACGACCTCCTGTATACCAGGCAAGGGAGTTAACATCTCCAAGCCACCGTGGTGATGATGATGATGAGAGACTTAAACTCCAAATACACAGCAGCAGGCGTCAAGGTCGTGATCGAACCCACGACCTCCTGTATACCAGGCGAGGGAGTTAACATCTCCTAGCCACCGTGGTGATGATGATGATGAGAGACTTCAACTCCAAATACACAGCAGCAGGCGTCAGAGTCAGGATCGAACCCACGACCTCCTGTATACCAGGCGAGGGAGTTAACATCTCCAAGCCACCGTGGTGATGATGATGAGAGACTTAAACTCCAAATACACAGCAGCAGGCGTCAGAGTCAGGATCGAACCCACGACCTCCTGTATACCAGGCGAGGGAGTTAACATCTCCAAGCCACCGTGGTGATGATGATGAGAGACTTAAACTCCAAATACACAGCAGCAGGCGTCAGAGTCAGGATCGAACCTACGACCTCCTGTATACCAGGCGAGGGAGTTAGCATCTCCTAGCCATCGCGGCACCCTTGACCGTAGCCCAGCAGCGAGGGATGGTGGATCACTGCAGAGATCCAGAGATACTCCCTTCCCGCGTGCATCGTGGAAGAGCCACATCGCTCGCTCGCCAACAGCAGGTGGTGGAGCAAAAATGTCAATTCCCGATCTGTTCCGTCTGCATGGGATAGAGTGTTTCCCCCTCTCGCACGCGTGGTGTTTCTCCGGGTGCCCCGGTTTCCTCCCACGTGTAAACACCCCTTAATTGGCCGCCTTAACATATAGAGGACCGCAGAACTTGGGAAATTGTTGGTAGTGCGGGCTCATCATCGCGTGGCTGCTGCTGCTGCCTTCTCGCTCGTCTGTGGAGCC